AGTTGCTATGGCTTTCTTGAGCCGCTAATAGCTCTCCAGTCCCCATTCTCTCCTCCCTGAATATGTCTGGCCACCTCACTGAGCCCCCCAAGGGCACCCCAGTGGGAGTGTAACACGGTGTCTGCCTGGCTTTGAAATCCAGCTGTGTGAACAAGTTACTTTCCCTCCTCGCACACCGGTTTCCTCACCCATGAAATGGGGGTAATTACAGCATCTCCCAGGGTTGCTGGAGGACTCGGGAGACTGTGCTGTGAGGTGATTAGAACAATGCAATAAAAGTGCTGGTCCACTGTGACACTCAATAAACGTCAACCAGTCACAGCTAAAACGCGAGTCTGAGCACTCTTCGGTGTAAACACCTGTGTGGCTCCCATCACCTGTGGATAGAGACTGGGCTCCCTGGCTTGGCATTTCCGGCCCTGCCTGACCTAAGCCACGTTATCTCTCCCTGCTCCCGGGTGGACAGAGGTTCCAGCCATGAAACGTACACATCCTACTCTGAATGGCGGTGCATTTCGAGTCTTGTCAGTTCTGAGCCTCCCAAATGCCAATCCCTGGCAGGCTACGTGGTTCCCCAGGCTGGGAAATCTCTCCCATCCTGAGCTCAGTCCAGGACGTGAGACCAAATCAGGGCTGCTCTGGACACCCAGTGTCCCATAGGGCTTTAGGGACAGAGCTCATTCTGAGTTTACTCCCAGCTCTTTTCCCAGGGGCCCAGTGTGCATCTGCTGCAGGGGGCTGAGCCTGACAGGGCACTGTGAGTGACAGACCAGCCCACTCCAGAGCTTGTCTTCTCATCCTGCGACAGTGGTACTCTGAGCACATTTTTCTTTACGCTATTTTTAACCTAAACTCCTTTCTAAGAAGAGGGTCTTTATCGTTAACTGGGCCCCTTTGTTCTGTGGAGCACCTGGAGGAATCTGAAAATGCTCTCGTCTGCATGATGGCAGGAGAACAATGTGGAGTTCCTGAGGCAAGCTCTGGGGTGGCAGACAGTGAGGAGGAGGGATGGGAAGAGAGGAAGGAGACAAGAGCCACTAAGACGGGGGCCATGCACAATCCCAAAATGACACTCTGAGGAAAAGGGATGCCTGGCGTGCGTTTTATACGGTGCGCACTGATCTGACATAAACCCGCCCCACCTCTCCTCCTATAAAAAGGCCTCCAGGAGAACCCACTATACTCATGAATATTTTGTAGGAGTGGCTTTTGCGGGGAATGTGGGAAGGGGTGGAGTTTCACATCTGGGTGGACATGGAACTCAATGGAAGGGGCCCTAGAGGAGGCAGGTGTCCAGAGGCAAAGGAGACCAGGAGGGTCGGAGAATTTTAGCCCTTCAGAAAGTCACCAGTTTTGGGAAAGGCTGAGGACTTCCCAGAGGGTGGGGAATCCATGGGATCAGACCAACCTTGTCCAGCTCTCAAGAGACTGGGAGGCCCCAGATGTCATTTTTTTTTTTACATGGGTTAATAAAATCTACCTTGTAGGTTGCAGTGAGGAGTAAAATAAGTGATTAATAAGCGCATCGGATGGATACACAGAGACACCATTATTTGAGGTGGCTTTTCTTCATGGTTACTCCTCAAGAAAAGTTCTCCACTGAAACACATCCCTAAAGACAGGCCCAGCCCAGGCCAATTTATAGCTTGAGGCAGCCAGCCAGGGGATGGAGCCCTGACACATGGTAGAGATAAACCACAAACATGTTAACTCAGGTTTCCAGAACCACTCTTCTGGCAAAATGCGCACTGACCACTATGCTTGCAACAAAGTAAATGGCACCCTCTTACGGGATTTTTAAAAAATCTCTTGTTGTGCTAACCCTTCTCTGTTTCTTTTCTTAATTGAGATATAACTCATACACCCTAAAATCTACCTTTTAAAAGTGGACAACTCAGTACTTTCTAGTATATTCACAAAGCGGCGCAAGCATCACCACCGGCTAATTCCAGAACATTTTCATCGTCCCAAACAGAAACCTCATGCCCACTGGCAGCCACTCCCCCAGCCCCAGGCAACACTGATCTTTCCGTCTCCATGGGTTTGCCTATAGTTTGGACATTTTGCCGTATTCACGTGCAGTCAGGGTAAGCTCCGAGTCCACAGTGGCATCTGCTGAAATTCAGAAACCCAGTTGTTCCTGCTGCTCACCCATAAAGTGCGAATTAACGCTTCTGGCTGCGCCTCCCAATGAGCTGTTTGATTTGGAAATGCCCCAAAGGCAACCTGAGGGAGGAACAGCCACCGCCATAAAACGGGAAATATTTGGCTGAGTATTTTCAGAACACTGACTCCACTGGGGCCAGAGAATGACGGAGTAAGTGAATTTCTTTCTGTATCTAGTTTTTTATTAACAGAAAAATCCGTTCCCCCGATCCTACGGAATAGATGTTGAACAGAGATTGAAAGACGTAGATCTGGCCCTAACCAGTTTGGCTCAGTGGATATCAGCCTTCGGACTCAAGGGTCCCAGGTTTGATTCTGGTCAAGGGCATGTGCCTTGGTTGCGGGCACGTCCCCAGTAGGGAGTGTGCAGGAGGCAGCTGATCAATGTTTCTCTCTAATCGATGTTTCTAACTCTCTATCCCTCTCCCTTCCTCTCAGTAAAAAACTCAATAAAATATATTTTTTTAAAAAACAGAAAAGAAAGACGTAGATCTGAAAGGGAAGCTGAACTATTTACCTGCCTGGGCACCCACGTGCCTAGGTCAGCCCTGACCCCAGCAAGGACTTGCTCAGTAAAGCCCTTTCCTATGGTTCAGAAAATGTACCCGAAACTTGGGAATAAGGGTGACAGCATATCATCCGGGTGTCACGTGAGGTTGCGACCTGGCCGAGACTGTTTGATTCTCTAAGGGACCATCCCCTTCTCCGATTTCCTATTTACTATTGATTAGGGACCAGACTCTGCAAAGTTCCATGTTAAGTTGCAGAAAATTGATGAGTTGCGAATGATTTTCTTTTGGTCAAGTAGAAATACAAAGGATTCCTGTCCAGTAGGACAGATAACACCAAAGTTTCAGTTCATTGCCCCTGTAGGACACTGGCCAGTCTGTGTGTAACTTAGCGATCTTATTTCAAGATTCTTCCTCCCCAGATATACAACTGACTCTCAGACACTGCCATCCTGCTTATTTCCTCACGAATGGGTTAAATTAACCTCTGTCACATGTTGACCACATACGTGTATGACTCAGGTTTTTAGTCTTTTAAAAAGTGTGCTTTGACAAAATCCGGAGTTTCTAACCACAGCTAGTGAGCAAAGAAGCCCCCTGCTGGCAGGGCCATTCTATCCACCAGACTCTGAGCACAAGCGTTTCGAAGCCCTGCAAAGATATTTGGGGCCTGGGGGGAAAAATTCAGAGCCTCCAAAACATAAAAAGAAAAATGTCAATTAAAAAAAAAGAATAAATGCTTGGATAAATGTCTACAAAATACAACCAAGTATAACTTGTCAACCATAGCTCATGATTACTTTAAGATTGTTTTTAATATGGGACATTCTCAGTGGTCACAACTGATGCAGGGAATCCTTCAAGACAAAAGGAGAAGGAATATTCTGTGTATCAGTTTCACTGACCGTGATATGGAAATAAAAATATTTTGGGGAGCCATTCTCTTGAAGAGGCAAGTGGTCCAATCTGCCCTGTTTCCGGGAAGAGATTTACTGTCCCTTACAGAAACCCAGGTCCACATGCCAAACTCGCCTGGGCTCCCTAGGACCTGGTGGGAGAGGACAGGCACACTTCATGCCCGCCCCTGACTTCCCATATTGCCCAGACACTGTTCCATTGCTCTGTGATCCCATGCCATGTTTCAGGGCCACTGGGGTGGGCTGGGGCCTTGACGCCAGTTAGCTGCCCAACTGAGCAACAAGAGACCACCTCACTTTTTGCCCAACCCACCAAACGTCACAGGAAATGTACCAATAGAAGTCTCCTTCTACCACCAGATGACCACAGTCATCACCTGGTTTGGCTTCACTGAATCCTTCCTGCAGGCTGTGAGAACCTGGCACTAAACAATACTAAGGACGTCCTAGTTTTAAGCACTTTCCAGGTAATCAGTCACTGGTTGGTATCCATGGTAACCCTTCAGGGCAAAAAGAGAAGGGGCCCCGTGGGGATTTCAAATCTCCATGTTATCAAGGTCACAGATTATTTTTTTAAAGATCTAAATAATCCAGAAGTATCCATTGTGGTCCACTATAGACAGCAAGTGAAGTGTAAAAGCATCACCTGTTTCAACCACAAGAAACTCTGAACCAGACCAAAATCCCTCTTCCAGGCACAGGGTGGGCATTAAGGCTCCCGTCCTCACTTCTCTGAAACTGTCGTCAGGCCCGTATCACTGTATACAAAGCCAAGTTCTACTTTGATCCAAAATAAAAGAAGAAAGCAAAAACATAAACTGTGAGCCTCAAGGTTTTTACTAAGAAAGACCCTCACCCTCTTGGCCTCAAAACCCTGAGATCAGAATTCTAACTGTAGTTCAAGTTCTAAGGGAACCTTGGGGCTGGTGACTTATTCATTTTTGCCTCAGTTTCCCCATCTGTAAAATGGGCCTGGCCATTAGTTTAAGGATCAAGTCAGGATGGAATGAGATAATGAATCTAAAGTGTCCAATACCTATTGAGTGCCTGGTAAACATTTGCTCTAAAAAGTCCCATCATTTTAAAGTCAGTAACTACTTCACATGGCACCAAAAAAAGAGAGTAAAGGTTTCCAGGTTTTTAAGAAAACATGACTGGATGTTTGCTGAGGTCCGTCCTGTACAGATATGCTAACCTGGGAGAGTGTAGGCCACATGGGATCAGCATATTACGTTTCAGACCCCACCTAAGTGATTCTATTAGTGTTGAACTCTTTGCAGCTCCCCAGGCGGCATATTACCGCTTGCAGAATATTTTTAAATATAAATAGTGATTGGTTTTGATTTTGAAGCCTTTGTATATTCTGGAATCAACTTTTTCTTTTTCTTCTTCTTTTTGTAAAATACAGGCAAAACCTAGACAAGGGGAAGGTGACAAGCCAGTGAGAAGCAAAGAAAGCCCTGAGCTGGGAGTTATAAATTGCAACATCTCCCACAGCACGAGCATCCATGGGGTTGTTTAAATATTTAACCCACATTAAATAGAATTTGACTTGCAAAAAATCAGAAGAGACTGAAAACCCTGTATTTGGCAAGATCAGATCCATCCTTCTTCCTCAAACCAGTGGTCTCCGAAAACAAAAGTGACATGTCATTAGAAGAAAATGTACTTGAGTGCTGCACACTGCTGAGCTGACTGCTGGCTTCAGTCCTGCTAACCTTGTTGTCCCGTGTGCTTACTGCCATGGCAGGCAGCTGTCCGTCATGGCTGCCTTCGTCAGGGAGCACGCTCTCTCGCTCTCTCCTGGCTTCCTGTGTTGTGGAGCCCCATGTGAAGTGCAAACATCTGCATTCCCGAGCCTCCTTGGCCCTGGGTGCAGACATGTGACCAGATCTGTCCCATCAAAGGTAGCAAGCACCTTTGATTGAAACATGAGCTCTGGGCAGAAAGCGCTGGTATGTCTCAGGCAGCTGTGCATCCGCCTGGTGGGTGGCCGCCGCCAGAAATCCCGGCCACACAGCTCGGCCACGAATCTGTAAGCTCCCTAATAACCCCAGAGCTAATATAGCCCTTCCTGCTTAAAACCCAGCTTCTGGCAAGTAATAGACACTCAGTGAATTCTAATTGAATTGAGAGCCTGTTGAGCTGAAAACTGCTGTGTCCGGGGTTTCAGGAACACGTCTGCTTGGAGAGAACTGTCTGCTTTGAGGTGTGTCTTCCCCTACGAACTGGGAAGGCAGGGGCTGTGTCCACCGAACCCTTGGTTGCCAGGGCCTGGCAAGCACTTGGCCAGCGTGGGCCCCAATGAACCCTGGACGGGATTATTTAATCCCCTGTAAGCCTTCCTGACTCTCTGGGGTTGCTTTTTCCTTCAGGCATACCCTTGGGGGATGGGGCTTCTCATCTGAGAAGGTTGGAACAAGGGGCTCTCCCAGGACCACCCTCAGGCCCAGGCAAGGGGCCCCACTGTGGTTCCTGGGACTTGGAGAGTCCTGCCCTGGCCCCACAGCTGCACCTCACAGCGTCAGGAGTCAACAGGGCCAAGAGGAAGTGCCCACTAGGAGCCCACCCTCCCTTCTAAACCCCACTTAGGATCCTGGATTTCCTTGGCCTGATGATGAGAAAGCCCAATTCCAGGCCTACGGGGACCTTTCCCCCAGATCCAACCTCCCAAGAGCAGACCGTGCTGGTGATGTGTGCATGGCTGGGCCCAGGGGTGGCGATTTGCAAGGGAGGGATAAGTCTGGAGTTTTAACCCTTGGGCATGTACAAGACCTGGGATATATGGGATGGATCCCGGGGAAGAAGGGAGCGCGTGGGGAGGGCAGGGGTGGCCCCATGCAAGTTCCCGCTCTCCCTCCCACCTGGTCTGGAGCAGAACTCCAAGGAGTACAAAGATTCCAGATTTGAACCTGATATTCCAGGTAGTTTTTAACATATGCTTTGTCAAGGTCAATGGGTAGAACAGATGTAATTCAGTAGTTTGTCTGTGTATGGGTTACCTATTGGTGTATAAGGAATTTCCCCAACACTTAGCAGCTTCAACAGCCTAAACACACACGAACTACCTGACAGTACCTACAGGCGGAAGCCGGGCCCCGCTTAGCTGGCTTTTCTGCTCGCAGCCTCAGGAGGCTGTGGTCCGGGGCCACGGTCTCATCTGATTGCTCAACTAGGGAGGGACTGGCTTGCGGTAGCGTTCTGCTCCTCGCAGGCTGCTCCTTGCCATGTGGGCCTCCCCTCCCTGGCAGTTGACTCCATCAAAGTGTGCAAGCCCGAGAGTCCACCAGCAAACCGGAGTCACCATTCTTTGTAACCTTTTGTGAAAGCGACACCCATCACCTTTGTCATATTCTATTGGTTAGAAGCAAGTCAGTAGGCCAGGCCACACTCAAGAGGAGATCACAAAGCACTCCTTACCACGCCCCAAATGTCCCACCCTAAGGCTGCAGCAGAACCCAACGCTTCACTGTGAGCCAAGCCCAGGGCTGTGCGTTCATCGCTCAACCCAAGAGCTCAGCCTCCCCAGGGCACCACCCTGCACCCTGGACAGATGAGCAAAGCCCAATTCAGAGGGAGCGTCTGTGGAGGACAGAAATTACCACCTCTAGTTCCAATTACCAGCTGAGCTAATTGCAAAAGTAATTGCAATTGAAGGGTCTAATTACCAGGCTGGGCCAGAGAAGCGCCTTCTCCCTGCCTTTGGGGAGCCTCCCGCTGCCTCCTGGGGGCTGCAAACACAGTGGGAAACCCCTTCTTGAGGGAACAGATGGTCAGAGGCAGCCCGCCCCTTTCCACCCAGATAGGCTCCCAGCCCTGAGAGTGACCTTTCCCCTTGCATTTCTGCCCAGCTCTGGACCCTTAACATACTCCTGTGCTACAACCAAACACCAAGAAGTATGAGCAGTGGCCTCCTTGCGCCGGCATCCGGGTCTTGGCCCTCTCCCCTGCCCTTTCCTCCCCGACCTGTCTCTACACCAGGCATGATCAGCCCTGGGGCTCTGTCTCCTCTCAGAACACGCCTCCTGCTGGGTTCCACAACCTGCCTGCAGGAACTGTTCCTGGTACTTCCTGCCATGGCACCCAGGCCTGCAGAGCACGCGTGGCCCAGGAAGCCCAGCCCGGCCTGGCCCTGGGTGCGCCCAGCACATGGCACAGCAGGTCTTATAAATCATTGTGAAGAGAATGAAAGTCAAGGAAGGGAGCCACCACGGCGGCCACCCTCCCCTACCTGACAGCAGCTTCAGCTGCCTGCTGCCCCCATTATACCCTCCAACCCCCTCTCCACACCCCAAACTAGCTGTCCTTGGGCCTGGCCACGCGCACACTCAGTGTGGACACCCCAAAGGCTGGAGTTGGGGCAAGGCTTGCACAGACTCTGGAATCAGGGTGTGATGGGAAGGGAGTTGGGGTGACTCCAGGTGTGCACACTGTCCTGGGCCCATGGACTCCTTGCTCATGGGGAGCAGTGCAGCTGGAGGGCCAGGGCAGGGTCTTCCAAAGCATGGGGACCATGGCAGGGGTCCCTCTGCGTGGGTCTGGGGGTTTCCCTGGAAGAACGCCTAGTTCTATAGACAACTTTCCAACTCAGGAGTGAGCCGGCCACTGAACCTTTAATGTGGCCTCACTGAAACCACACTTCTCAGCTGGGCCAACCTGCCTCTCTGCCTCTGTCATTTGATCCCCCTAACCCCCTGCTATGGCTCCTCCTCTGGGGGCGCTGAGCCAGGTTTGGTGGAGCCCCAGCAGCTTACACAATTTGGGGTGGGTCGCCTGAAGGAAAGACCACAAAATGATGATTGCAACACGAAGCACAGAGCCCTGGAAAGCGAGGGCCCCTGAGCTTTGGACCATTAGCTTCATGGCAGACTCGCCCTTCTGCCCAGCTGTCCCAGCTCCCTTCGGACACTCAGCACCCCCCTTTACCTTTCTGGACCAGCCCTTCCTTGGCCCCTCCTCCCACTCCCCATTCCTGCCGGGTTAGGGCTCCCAGGATGCCCTAGACGTGGCCTCAGGGTGCCCACATCTCCCTGCATGGTGGGTGTCTACCTTTAAGCTGGAGACTCCCTGGGGCATGCACTGTGCTGAGTCATCAGCATTTTGGCCTGGGGCGCACAGGTGTCTTTGGAGACATGCTGAATAAATTAACAAGTGAACACTTTTCCAAGAAGATAGCAACCACATGAGCATGGGCTATGGACGGCTGAAACCTCCAGCTGTCCCAAAGCAGGGGCTGCTGCGCCAGGACAGCCTCCCCCAGCCCACCACAGCTACCAGCCTGCAGTTCCCAGCTCCACACTCCCACACCTGGAGACCAGGCACAGGGAGGCCGCCAGGGGGCAGTGCGGACACATGGACACTCCTCCACTGGCAAAGGCCTGCCCAGCCCTCAGCCTCTCCCTGCAGAAGGCATCTCCTCCCAGCCCCACCATCCAGCTCCCTGTTTCACAGAAGAAAACCAGGGCTGGGGAGAGGCAGATGCGGGATCGAACCCGTTCCACCACTTCCATCCTGGTTGTGTGGATTTAGGCAAGTTCCTTCCTGTCTCTGAGCCAGTCTTCCAACCGGCAGGGCTGCTGTGATGCCCGAGGGAGTCTCTGGAAATGGGAAACTGCCGAGAGCACGTTGATTATTGGTTAATTCCTAATTACCCAATTGTCTCTGTCCACTGTCTGATTCCCACATGATGACACATTAACCCAGCTTTAGCTTTGGGGAGAAATGATGAAAATGCCAAACCCATAACAAGGTTATAGAAAGCTCTGATTTTGTCTCTATTAAAGACATCATGAGCAGTTCATTGATTTTTTTTTTTAAAGGGAAATGAGAGCACACAGGAGCAAACCTTTCTGGGCGCCAATTGAATTAGCAGTTGCGAGACTGCAGGCCCCGCTGAGCAAAACACTGGTCCCTGCCCCTGTGCCTCCTCCTTCCCCTGACCACAGGCCGTGAGGTGACTGATGCCTCTCTGGACCCATGCCGAGCACAGGAGCTAGCACACAGTTGGTGCTCAATTAATGTGCAGCGTGTGGCTCTGAGGAAGATTTTGGGAAATCCTTTGTCACCCACCAACCTTAGGTGTGCTATCTGAGACATCAGGGGTCCATGGTTGTGCACCCTGAACCCTGAGGTGGGGGAGATGGGTCCACTGGAAGGTGTCAGTAGCTCACAGAAACGAAGGGAGGGCTGTGCTGGGCAAATGCTGGAGCAGCTCTGAGAGCCCAGAGCAAAGCGCCCTTCTGCTCTCTGCCAGGTTGCCACCATGATGAATGGCAAGAGGTGAGGATGACCTCTGCTGGTCTCTGCCCATGATGTGAAACCTCTGGAGTAAGGCCACCCCTGGCCTGGCCTGGAGAACACGAGACCTTGATGGCAGCCCCAGGAAAAACCCCAGCAAAGCACAAGCCCCCCAGTGAAGGGGGCAGGAGGCTGGGTGACCAAAGACCAGTGAAGGTCCCTGACACAATCCAATGTAGTTGAGATCAACCAGAACCTTCCATGCTGTTCAGGGCTGGGCCCAGGGTGATGAGAGCTTACTTGGCACTGACTCTGGAGCTGCTGGGCAGAAGAGCTGCGGGTGGCCATCTTGGGGGAACCCCCTGAGACCAGACATGGGGACAGCAGGCTTGAACAGTAGAGAGAGGTGAGGACAGTGTTTGAGTGTCCGGACCTAGCTATACCTCAAGCCAACATGGGCTTCTCAGTTATGTGAACAAGATCCCTTTGGGGCTTAATCCCACCTTTAGCAGTTGCAACCCAATGAGTGTGGACAAATCCAGCCTTTGGTCTCAGGTTCAGAGGCTGCCTGCAGTGTCTCCCCTTCTCCCCACTCTTCCCCATCCACCTTTCCGAGTAGTCGTCCTGATTCTCCATACTCCCAGCTCACCTAGTCCTGCCTGAAATGCATCCCCGAGGATCCCAACCTCTCCAGGTGGCCACCTCACCCAGGTACCTTCCCATGGACCCCTTGACCTTCCCCATCCTTCCACCCTCAAGTAATGAGCTGCCCCCTGGCCACCTACAGTTGCTAGCACATGACCTTCCATGAATCCGTCAGAACCAGATGCTAAGCTGCAGGAGAGTCAACAGCTGCCAGGGAAATAGCAGCTTGACTGGCTCTTCACCACGGGTTGCTGTCCTACCCTTGACAGGACTCCGGACGTCAGCTCAGGGCTTCTCACCCTGGTGTCCTTTTTGCAGCATCAAGGTCGCTCCCAGCAGAGGAGCAATCAAGTCGTCTGTCATATCCCCTAGACACAGAGATTCAGGAGGGGTCCTTGGGATTCCTGGTGCCCTAGCATGCCTCTGCCTGTGGTCATGAGTGTCTACTTAAATGCCTTCAGCGACAAGGAGCTGACCACTTCTCTGGTAAATCATTCTCTTGCTAGAGAGCAAGGTTCCAGAACCCCCAGAGGACCCAACCTCACCCCAGCTACAGGCAAGACCTCAGCCAAGCCTGGGGAGGAAGACATACAAAGAGTCCCCATCCTCAGACCTGCTCCTTCCCTGGAGCCCTAAGAGATCGTCATCCAGGGGAGCAAGGAGGCAGATGGAGGGGTCATGTGGGTCACAGAGTCAGCCAGGCACCCACTCCTCTCCCACGGGCCTCTCACCTGGGCATCCAGGCTGGGCGTGGCCAGAACAGCACACTCCCCGCGGAGGGACCTATTAGTCTGTCCAGACAAGGACACTGAGCCTGGGAGAGGTGACCTCATACTGGATTCAGCATTGACATGAGTATCCAACACAGGTCTTCCGGGCTTCCAAGGAACGGAACGTCTGATCTCCCTGCTACACTGGGCCCCCGACGGGCTCTCAGGAAATGTCTCAGGAAGGAAGGGGAATGGGAAGAAGAGGGAGGAAGGGTTTCTGGGCACCTACTGGGTGCCAGGGCCTTTTACTGACACTTCACTCATCAAAACAGGACAGTGATTGCCCCGTCCTCAGAGAGGATGTTTGACCCCAAGCCACTCCACACTGC